CTTCTCCTTCTCCTTCTCTGACTCTCACTCCATGTGACGTCTTCCTCTACAGTTTATCATCCGCATCTTCTGAACGTGAGCTGTGGCTCTCTTATCGAAGCATACATTTTGTTGACGACAACTGCTGGGCAGAGTTGTACAGTCTCACAGACGAGTGCAACGGCAAGCTTTGCTACCACCTCGCCAGTCTAATAATAGTCAAGCACACAATATATCCACGCTATCTCGCCTAACGTACGTCGTTCAATTTACCAGAATTGATCTCTCGCCTGCTGATAGCTTCAATACTGTCCGACAATGTAAATAACGTTTGTTTCGAGCATCAAGCAACCTCACGTATCTCACGGAATTGCTGGCCTTAACTGAAAAATTGTTGTTTCAATCTGAAAAACACTCTACAAATCTACAAAGCATACGCTTCACCAGCTGATCTTTGTTGTCGTTCACCTGAGGCAATTTAATGAAACTAATTCGAAATTCATTACCACACCTTGGTGTATGCTAATCGAGCAACAACAACAACAACACAACACAAGCAAGCCCTCTACCAGCCACCACCATGGGATCTAAACAAAGCACTGCAAACAGTCCGTCCCGCATTGTCTCTCGCGGCGAAAACTCCAGCACAATCGGCGGCTCATTCTCCTCTTCGACACCCTTTCGCAGCGGTAGTCACGCCGCAGAGGCTACCGAACAGCTGAATAATGGTCGTGATACAAATTGGCGGCAACGTGCACGTAGCTTAACCGCAGTCATAAGTTCCGATTCCCGGCCATCTCACTCTAGTGCCATTGATGTGCTCTCGCCATTCGGTATGTCTCCCTCGTCCGATATTCTTTCAGTGTCATCAAACGATGACCACTTGTCCGCCTCCTACGGCTATACTGCTCACTCACTTCCTGTTCACTTTTTTCCAATTAACGGTAATTATCTTTTGTTTTTGTTTTAGATTTAGTTTATAACTTTATTGATACTAACATTGCTTGCCCTTAACGTAACTCTAGTTTTATAAACATTAGTACGCTTTAATAACCATTAACAACAACTACTGTTTACTTTACGGTGTGTGCAACACTTGACTTCTAACCACGTTGCCAGTATATAGTTTATGTGTAATCAACCCTAGCCGTACAATTATTTGGTTTTATTGTCATTATTTGCTTACAAGTTTCGACCTTTTCAGGCTTCAAATGTCCTTTCTGTTCAAAGACAATCTTACCTGACGATGTTGAATGCCACCTGGTAATGTGCATTACAAAGCCTCAGCTAAACTACAACGGTATGTTGGTTAAACTGCCATTTCTATTGACCGATAACTGACGCCTACTTTTTGCACTACAACAATTACGCAGAGGACATTTTGAGAGATGACAAAGAGGAATGTGTAATTTGCCTTGAGGAAATGCTAAAAGGCAACAAAATCGCTCGTCTTCCGTGCTTGTGCATATATCACAAACAGTGAGTGTCCGGTTGCGACAATAGTCGCACTTCACGTGATTCTAACCTTCACATCCGCCCTCTTTTTGCTGTAGGTGCATCGATGCCTGGTTCGAAGTGAATCGCTCCTGTCCTGAGCACCCGGCAGACTAGCCAACCACTGTCTCCTCATCTCTGCGCACGCCTTCACTTGGCTTCCGCTACACTGCAAGCAACCACTCACGCCTCAGTTTTTACCTTTTTAACTTGACAGTCAAATTTTATTTTATTTTTACATTTGAACCCACAAACACATACACACACCTAGCTTATTGACAACACTCAAGGACCTGCGTTTTCACTGCGTTTTTAAACACTTTGCTCAGACAAATGAGTGTGAGGAACCCTACTGCAAATCAATCCTTCTGTGTCTGCCCGGACAAACACATCCACGACGACGACGACCCTGTCATCACTGAACGCACTGCAATTGACTGGTCTTATCTCCCAACCAATGTGATATATCTGAATTACTTCGCCGTTGCCATTTTTTCTTTGCATTAGAATGGGAAAGGAGACGTTTGCTTCTCGTTGAATCTTTATGTTTTATTTATTGCCCATTTTCATTGTTACTTTGCCATTCTCTCTCTCATCCCTGCCCTCTGTATTTCGCGCGCTAGGTTCTCTCAACCATGTTCATCATGTCACCTCGTGAGAGGCAATTGACGACTGTCTGTTCACTGTCTGTTCATGGCTTGCACACACATCTCCAACCTCTCCACACTCACACTCATACACTGAACACACACAACTTTATTGTGATGCCAACATTGCAAATATTTGTTAATTAACGTCTTTTTGTACGAATCCATTCCGAAAGGAGGAGAAGACTCTCCAATTCTCTGAATGAGTCTTTGCCACTTCATCACTGTTGAACACCTGAAACGATGTTTACCATTTGACTATTACTGATGCTTGCCCTCCCCTCCCCCTCCCCTGCCCGCCTGATGTCGCCATAAAGAAAGGCCGCAATTGTGACTGTTTGTCGTCTCCTTTTCCCCCTACTTTGCTTGATCAGCTGTGCAATATTGATTGTTAGCTTTGCCACTTGTAACCCACTGTCACTAACTTGTTGAACACTGACTTCTTCTGACTTTCAAACACTGGTGCCTTACCGAACTGTTACCGAACGCCCCCCACCAACCAACCAATTGTGACCCTGAACTGACTGTGTTTGAGCCTGATGCCCGCCAGCAATGCCTCTAGAGCAGTACGACGACCACTCAGGTGACAGAACTTTCTTTCTGTCAAACTCGATCCGAGCCTGCACGAAACTAGCAGACCGCTTTGCTGTGCGTCATCACCCAAAAGATATGGTCTCGCGCCGACTGTGCTGTGATTGTCAAGCGCCCCTTTTGTACAATATTATTACCTGTAAGATACATCACCACGTGCATTGTATATAAAGTGCTGTTGTCTGTACTTTCAACAAGGAAAATGTCATCTTTATTTGGTATTTACAGGAAAAAGCGAGTTGAGTAGAGGTGAAAAGAGGTGTTGAGGTTGGGAGGTATGAGAATAGGAGAGAACATGGGTGCAAACTGTACAGATTTGGTAGTTGTGGTAGGGCTGTGTACAAAGTGTTAAAGTTGTGGACCTTGGACAGTTGATGAGACAGGTGATCACTGAGTGGTATGGCATGGGGAGGGGCAGCATTGTGTGGGCAGCATATTCCAATTGCAAGTGACTGGTGTTCAGTGCAGACATTTGAGGACTATATCACATTTGGGGGCTGTTGTGCACTGCAGTCAACTCAAACCAATAGGACTGCTTCCAAAAGAAGTAATAAATGCAGAGCTGGGCGTTTGAAGACCACCCGGGCTATACTTTGGTTGTAGAGAGTTCGGTTGAGAAAATCACTAATGGCTGGCAGTTGCGTAGTTGACGTGAATTAGAAGAGGGGGTGTGGTCAGTGAGCAATGGCAAAGGATGGTGATGACTCGATGGGTCGATGATGACTGTAGAAGTCACACGTGGAGGCAGTCACATCGGACACATTGTCAGAGCTACTGTGGTACCAGCTGCTGTTCATGTTCCCCTCTGACTGGTGGAGGCCCTCGGACGACGCTGTCAGGTCGGTGGTGAACTTGAAGTTTGTGGTCACTTCAGACTGAAGAGGGTTGGTAGACTTGCCGTAGGGATTGGCGCTCTCTTTGCCGCACAGACTAGGTGCTAGGTGCTTCTTCATTCGCTGGTGCGCCTCAGCAATGGCCAGCGTCGCCTGGTGCACCTTTCGGTAGATCTTCTCACCTTCTAGAGTGTGAAAGATGAACATGCCTTCACCTGTTTCGCAGTGACGTCCTGCTTCAAAGGTGAACTTGGTCATGTCGGAACCTGTTGGGTAGATAATGGGTTAGTGGATTTGAGCAGTGGTTTAGCAGTTTGAGTCATTGCTGAAAAACAGCGGCTGCAAAACCTACCATAACGGCGAAGTGCAGTCAGTGGCCAGGCACAGAGCTTCAGCTTTGGGCTGCTAATGTCCCACAGGTAAATGTTCTCATGCGTCACTTGCAGCAGACATTCACCATAGAGCGTCTCCACTTTTGAGGGAACGAGGTACACTCTAAACTGCTCCTGGAGCTCCTTGCTCTGCACTGGTTTCAAAATGTCCGGCTCACCATTGGCGATGCCTGACGAAGGGAGGAAGGACTCCTGGGTGATCAGCTTTACCCAGTTGTCAGCTTCCAGTTCTGTGTGGAGAGATTACAACAATTGTTTTGGTAAAAAAGGCTAAAACGATAACCACAAAAAGGTTAAAAAGGCAAACCAACCTGAGTCACAGGCAAAGCACCTGTTGGAGCCGTCCTGGAAGTTGAGCTTGAATGCGTGCCTCCTGCTGGAAAGCCGACTGATGGCGGCCACATTGCTCAGCAGCTGCACCTTGTGCTGGTCGATGCACCGAGCGGCGCTCTCATCAGCGTACTTCTCCAGTCGACACGGGCCCTTGTTGGAGGTGCTTCGCAGCACTAGCCACCTTTTCTGCCAGAGGCCCAGGGAACGGCTTTTGCATCGTAGGTAGCCCTGTTTCACGACGTCACTTAAATCGGTAGCCATCGAAGTTTAGAAATGATGCATCCACACAGGGAGAAATAACTTAGTGTTGTAACTGGCGACAAAAGTGGACACAAAAATCACACAAAAACCAGGTTTTGGTCAGGACAGTTCACAGGCTGCTTCTGAACAGGGTCGACCATCCAGTGAACAACAGTGTCCAGTGGTCAAGAGAAAGAGAAAAACTGTGAACAGAGCAAACAACAAATGGCAGTGGAAGTGAAGATATTAGCCAAGAAGAAGAGGAAGAAGAAGATATGATATGATTTGGCCGTGGATTAGTGGAGGTTGCTCATTAGACGGTTAGGACTGATTGCGTCGAGGGCAGTAGATTTGTTTGCATTCAGGCGACACCGGCAGACAAGCGCCACTTTGTCGAGACAGGGTTTATTGTGAGCCTACTCGATTCTAAAAGCTCACTGGCAGACGGGGACTAGCGAATGGTATTGTCCAGTGGTGGCCAACACACTACAGTGTGTGTTGTTATCTCCTACGAACAGCGACAGACAAAGAACAGTAGACTAATTTGTCTTGCTCATTAGCGGAAAATGAGCAAAGTGGAGAAGAAGAACACAGTGTGTAAAAGACCTTCAGTCGGCGGGAAGAAAGAGTGACAAAGTTGCGTAAAAATTGTGTCCCCTGCGACGACGACGACGAAGAAGAAGAGGAAGACAACAGGTCAATTCGGGGATTGCGGATGAGCGGTGAGGACTGAGAGAGCAAGGACGAAGACGTCGGTGACAGTGTAGCTGATGGTGGTGGTCGTAGCAGTGCTGCTCACTGCTGATGGTCTTCACTACACTATGGCAAAGAGCGTAGGGCAGGTGGGGCAAGTGAACAGATCAGGGGCGAACTGTGTGAGCGCTGGCAGGGCAAAGTGCACTAAGTGAACAGATCAAGGCAGAACTGTGTGAGCTTGTGAGCGCTGGCACTTGTGCCTGCGGAGACAAGTGACCACAGTCTATGCTAGAGAATGAGGGGTCGCTTCTTCTCTTCTCTGGAAACTGGCCTGCCCTGGCCGTCGTAGTAATGGCGGTAATGCATGCTAGTAGATGCTGTTGCTGCTGGTAGAGAGCAGTGTCGAGTCGCCGCCAGAATGCTTCAGTAGTTAGGGCAAGACAAGAGTAGTGGTGGTGGTGGTGACTGAAGCCACACTGCAACGTTAACGCTCAAAAGGAGGGCAAAATTTGAATTCACAAGTACTGTTGGCCGCTGCCCGAACCAGTTTTCTTCGATGACTGCTATTACATTTGATGGTGAATGGTGGCTGTGGTGGTGGCGATGGTTAATTGCAGTCTCGGCGCTCTTCCCGCCAACAGCAAACACACACTTCGGCCTACCCGAGCACACAGTTAAATGCTAAATTTGCTTTCGATGCCGTGATCTGAGGAGGACTCAGTCAGCCTGTGTGCCCCAGTGTGATGCTCATCAACCCTGAGAGAGATAAGCGGANACTTCGGCCTACCCGAGCACACAGTTAAATGCTAAATTTGCTTTCGATGCCGTGATCTGAGGAGGACTCAGTCAGCCTGTGTGCCCCAGTGTGATGCTCATCAACCCTGAGAGAGATAAGCGGAGGCAGAAAAGCATCTCTCCGGAGCATCATCACCGCGTGGACACATGAAAACGCGACGATGAACAGAAGGAGAGAAAACATGCGCCGGTGGAGGCCTTTTTCTTTTTTCACGGAGGCATTCGAGACTCGTCAACTGCCTGGAGTGACTGTGATACCATGTGATACCTGTTTGATTGGCAGCAGCACTGGCAGTGATGCAGATGATGCAGATGATGAGACTCGAGCACACTGTTTCGTTTGGTGCCCAGGTTGAATCATTCTTGCGAGTGAGGTCAGCAAGTGATCTTCTGCCTGTGTCAGGTGGATGAGCAGACTAACAGGTAGACACAGAAGCACCAAGAGCAGAAGCATCAATAGCACTTGCGCCCGCTGCACACCATTGACCGATCATCATCATCATCAGAGGCGGCAGCAACAGCATGGGCCTTCTCTCTGCTATTTGCACGAGGCACGCACTCCTCTTTCTCTCTCTCTCTCTCTCTCTCTC